GAGTTCCACCCCGTCCGTCTCACTCCAACTCTGAGACTACCAGTCCTTACCTGATGCGATGTGATTTTGCTTCTTTTCTTCCTCCGTGAGACGAGGCTTCGTATCTTCCGGTGCACCCGGATTTGGTCCCTCGGGTGGTGAGCTGGAGCTTGGTCCGGACATATTGGGTGCGGAGGGGGGCTAGGAGAACAAGAATTTGATAAGGCGTAAATCAATTGATTGTCTAAGCAATACAGTACTGGAAAGTCTCGTATTGGAGAAATAATGCTAGCTTAAGATGCTGCTGACTTGAGTGAAAACCAACGTGCTCAGCTTCGAATGTTGAATGTAACAACTTGGACGATGGGTATGCATAAGACAGGATATGGAGAACATCGTATTAAACATTACGCCTCGGAACAGATTTGGCATTAAGCTGAGGATGGAAAGACGTTCCCGATTAAACTCAACATTGAGGGTGTGCCATACTCTTGGACAGAAGCTGCGATGCGATTTGGGCGGGTAGAGACTTCTTTCTACGAAGTACACATGCTTTTAACACATGGAAACACAGAAGAAAGCATGTGACGCGACCAGACGTCAGGACCCGCCCGCCTTCCACGAGTGCACGAGGCTACGAGGCCCCCTTGTAATTGCTCCATTAACCTTGCAGGGCCACAGGCTAACAGCAGAGGTATGAAAGCCCCGCTTCTTGCCGCTGGAGTACCTACCTAGACTAACTAACTAGGTAGCACCTGCAGGTTGGCAGGCTCTACGAAGTACAGCATTATGTAATATGGCAATGTGGAATTTGGGCTAAGCTCGAATCACCTTTTGGGGGGTGACGCAAGTACCGCCTGGAAGCCTGGGACCTGCATCCAACCCCACCAGCACTACCATCCACCAGCAACTTCCTCCCTACCGCACCCAACCCCTTAAAATCAAGATTCAGGGGGCCTAGAACTAGGTTGGCAATAACAGACGGAAGGAAACCTCCTGGTTCAGTCGCATAGAAAGCTTCAGCTTCCTCCCTTCCACGAACGCCGAAGTCGACCGACCCTGACTACCTCACCGCCATCATCACCATCACCATCACCAACCCGCTACTTAGGACCCCCATTCCTCCGAAGATAAAGAAAGATGGACGAAAAGCAGCCCCTCATGTCTCCCGCCGCCGCCGACGACGACAACGACAGCATCAAGGCGCCGAGCGAAGCCCCGCCCCCCTACATCACGGCAGCGCGGTCGCACGGGATCCCGCTGCGGCAGTCGGCGCCGATCCGAAAAGGGCCGATGCATGCTCCGTCAGCATCTGTACCGTCCATACCGCTTCCACTGGGTCCGCCACAGCCGCTCGAGCTACCCATCGTCCAGTACATGCGGACGCACCGAGTGATCCTGGCGTCGGCGTCGCCGCGGCGGCGCGCCATGTTCGCGCAGCTGGGGTTGAGCAACATCGAGGTCCGCCCCAGCAAGAAGCCCGAGGATCTGCCCAAGACGGAGCTGGGGCCCTTCGGGTACGTGACTGCCACCGCGCGCCAGAAGGCGCTCGACGTGTACCAGGAGGCCATCGCGGAGCTCGCCGAGGCCGAGGAAAGCAGGGAGAAGGCGGAGGCGGGGATTGCGGAATCCGAATCAGAGGAATCTGGAGAAGAGGACGAAGAGGAGGCTGCAGAGGACGCAACAGAAACCACGAATCTACACAAGAAGACAAAAACCCCCAGCAGGAAGAACAAGAAAGGCGGCGAACCACCGCCCGCAGCGCGGCAGCCCCACCCGGGCGGCGACCCGGACCTGGTGATCGCGGCCGACACGGTGATCGTGACGCGGGACGGGCAGATCCTGGAGAAGCCGTCGTCGGCGGCGGCGCACGGGCGGATGCTGCGGCACCTGCGGGACACGCGGGCGCACAAGGTGCTGACGGCGGTGTGCTGCGTGGCGCCGCGGGCGGACGCGCAGCACCCGGGCTACGAGATGCGGACGCACGTCGAGGAGACGCGGGTGCTGTTCGCGCGCGAGTCCGACGGCCTGCCCGACGACGTCATCGACGCCTACGTGCGCACGCGCGAGGGGGCCGACAAGGCCGGCGGCTACGCCATCCAGGGCGTCGGCGGCATGCTGCTGGTCGAGCGCGTCGAGGGCGCCGTCGACAACGTCGTGGGGCTGCCGGTCCGGAGGTGTTTGGCCCTGTGCGAGAAGGTCGTGTTTAAGCAGGGCACGGCGGATGGCGAAGATAGCGAGGAGGAGACGGATGAAGAGGAGGATGGGGAGGGGGGGTTCTAGAAATTCGATTGGATCTGAGTGGATGATCAGAGATGGGGAGGCGGGCGGGGTGAGATGCGTACGATACGATGTGCGCCCGGTAGAAGAGAAGGCAGTGCTGCCTGGTCTACCGATGAATGCATATAAATCAGGGCATATGAAAGGGAGACTCTCAAGCAAAAAATAGAGCTTATGTTATGTTGGGCATGGAAAACAGGTCTCCGCCGAATCGTTCCACTTCGAAATACCTATTTCAACACAGGACGTACATTTGAACCATTGATTAAGGACTATTGGATCTGTTCACGTTTCGTGACCGCGTTATTTGCAGCTGATTAATACGGAACGCCTCTCTACTACTCGCGAAATCTTGGTCCATCCTTGTATCGCGATTGCTAGCCTCCCCTATCCAAAGTCTCAAATCCGGTCACCGGATGGATACGCACGAAACACCTATCCCCAATAGCGGAACCCTAAGTCCCTGGAGCAGATGACGAGATTGAGGACACCCTTGTGGTCAGCTGCTTGTGGTGAAGGTACTATCAACGATACCCCTGGGGTTGACATAACTCGGAGGACAATGGCTCAATCCAGCCGTCGCAGCAGGTTCCCCCCGTTTTGTAAGACTTGGAAAACCCCCTTGGGATCATGCCTGGCCGCCGCCTTTCCAAGCCTCTCACGACTGTCTGGGCGGGCCATAACTTTCCAACAACGTTTGTGCGGGACCGGCATCGTTCATGAACTCGAAATCGAGGCATTTCCCGCTCGACCTTGCGAGCTGCTCCGCGCCTCGTCGTAGGTCGTTCACATTTCGCTGTCCTTATCATCCAGATTAGCCTCTGACCAGAACCCGGCAAATGCATACCCTAAACATCCATGAAATTGGTTCTTAATTAATGGCAAGAGAAGGGCATGAGAGAAGGGGAAGTGTATCACAGCGCACCGTGTAAGATTGGCCCACTACGACTTACAGTCCTGTACAACTTACTTTATATCCATGGTGTTTCCGCCTCTCTCCTAGCCTTATACAACAGCATTTAACACTAACGGTTGTATCTTGTAGAATATATCAGCAAACACAGTCTTGTTCGCTTCGAGCCAAAGCTCATGAGCTTTGACGTATAGATCGAGAGAAACCCTGGTGGCTGTTACGGCAAGCGAACGTTGCTGTAGTGAGAAGTGCTTACCTCGCACTCGTCGCATCGTACTGTATGCTTGCTATCAGTGATCCGATGGTACCGTCGGTCCATGGAACTGCGACGGTCATAAGACTCTTGAGGTTAAGGAAAGGATCAAAGGCACCTAGTATATCGGTCAGCGTATCCGCATTCATCGAACCCACCGCGACGAAAGTCAAGTTGAAGCTGACAAACAAGCCAATATTAGGGTCTGATTCCATAGACTTCTGTACCTCGATAGTGTCCTGGAGGATGTTGACGTAGTCAGCGGGGTCGTACAGATACACCGCGCACCTGGTTTTGGTTAAGGGGGAGGTCTTAAAGTCGAAACTCGCTACACTGCCTATCAATCGTTACAATAGATTAGCAGACAACGACTTGTATAGACCAACTTCTAGGTCAGTCAAACCTACCAGGTCTAGACGAACCAGAGTTCGTCCGTCCCCCTTGGAAGCTCTCCGGAAATCCGGGAGCGATTCCGAATTAGCGTTAAGGACTGAACAATCGCTCAAGATAACCTTCCCAGCTACGATATATATATATATATATATATATAACTATCAAGAATTACTTATACGACCAGACTAACTCACCTCAAAGTCCCTCACATTGTCTGCAGTCAGGCCGTGTATATTTGGAGATACTGGAATACCACCTGAAGGTATTCTTTTTAGCATCTGGACGACAGAATGCTATCTCGCCAGATCATAGCACCAAGTGTGTCATCTGCGACACCGACTCCCAAGTTACGAACACCCATTGCCGAACGCCCACGCTCTTCGAAAACGCATACATATCTCCCCAGGTGCTTCCTCCACCTGCGCGCACAGTGCCATCGCCGTCGCCATCGTCATCTAGAGACAGGGTCTTTGATACCACTCAAATCGAATAATGATGCCTGAGGATGTTGAGCTTACAGTGGTGTCCATAATGGATGTCCTACTTGATGTCGAAGAGGAGGGTTGGGTATTAATGGGTTGGCGTAGTAAAGCCAGCGACTCTGGTCCAAAGGAAACGAAAGGTAAAGTACTACCCGTGTTTCAGGATGCTCATAGGGGGTAAAGCCAGGAATAGGGGCTGAGGAGGCAATGATGCAATAAGGTGTTTTAAGACTATAGCTATGCTTTCAAATCAAGAATTATGTAAGTCCCATATAACTGAGCATTCAAACATTTCAATACTATGAAACGTAAGAGTCCGATTTTGAGAATAAGGAACTCCCAAGGTTGGTATTTGCCTTATAGACTCAGGGAGCATCCCCCGTGTTAGAGCCCCTGATTCGCTTAGCCGCAGCCAGGACTCGCAGGTGGTACATGTGCTAACTGAGTAAGTAGTCTATGCAATCACTTTTCACAAAGACCATTAATTTGATTTTGGTGAGTCATCACTCCTAGTGTATGAGCCTGCACGGCTTATATTCCATGTCGTCCCTAGTAGCCTGGTCCCACATCGCGTCCACGAAAAATTTGCACTTCATATATCCCACTAAGTGGCCCGTTTTCAACCAGAACAGCTTCTGTTGCCCGGTTAGCTCAAGTAGGAAATCCCCCAACTCGCTTTCTCATGAGCAAATGACTAACCTATATGCATAGTCGGTAGAGCGCAAGACTCTTATTCCATCTCTGGATCTGAGCTAATCTTGAGGTTGCGGGTTCGACCCCCGCATCGGGCTCAATTCCCGATGCATCTCATCAAGCGAGATACTTCGAATTCAATTTTTTTGGCTGTTATAGGGCGAGCATACCAAGCCGACGAAATAGAAGATTTTTTTCTAATATACGAGCATGACTACGACGCAACTGATGACCACCTCGGTTTGGAGATTGCCTCAATCAGATGAGATCGGGAGGCAACATCTGGTTAACTTCAGTCTTAGAAGGGATTCTAGCTTGTACCATACTCAGCCTGACTGTAGGATTTGCTGGATGCAGCAAGACGGTATAACAAAAGAGATAAAAGGAGTTGCACTTATACAGCAGAATTACTGCTCCAAACGTATTACTACTGGAAGCACATTACTGTATAAGATAAAGGAAACAATGGCTTCCATTGTACTAGAAAGGATAGGGACAATTACCGCATTAGGAAATACTCTATATATAAATAGGGGTAGCAGCCACCTAGCTGCTATACCCGAAGTCTACACCTTTCGCACCCATAACAATCTAACCCCTATACTTAAATACTTACCATTAATCGCTTCAGCTTAATCCTACTTATTAGTGCCTATTTACTCCACTGCCCAATCCGTATAATCCTATGTCGTATAACCTTATACGGATAATGAGTGGGAAAATGTGATCGAGACTCTATTCGAGTGGACGCAGCTGAAGGCGATAGATCCGCTGTCCGGCACCGGGATACCGAGGGAGTGGCAGGCGGTCGCCGACATCTTCGGCGCCAGCGGAAGTGAGGTTGCGCTATGACAGGGGGTGCTTAGCTAATAGTTCTTTAACTTCCAATGAGTGCTTTGGGGTTATTACATGGAACCTAGTAATAAGAATGAGTAATCGGTGGATACCACCAAATGAGCTGTTGACTAAGGAGATGGGATGTGTTTCTCCAAGTACGTTCACTACTAGGGGGTAGGGGGTTAGATATAGAGTCAAATACTCGTTCGAGTGGCATCATATACATTGCTAGATAGCCACCAATCTACTCTGTGAAACCCCTTAGTTACTTTTATAGCATAGATGCCCTCAGCTTTCTTAAGTGTTAGCCATGAGAACAGCCAACTCCAGTGACCTGCTATCCTATGCTCTAGCGTTCATCCCACTCCTACTTTTAGATACAAGTGGCACATCCGTTCACGATCTCGCTGTCTGCATCGCTTCTTCCAATCTTCACATTACTTCCCCAAAATCTCCGCCCTAAGCACTCACCAAGCAGGCAAGTACCCTTATAAAAAGCTATTCTAACCCCCCTCACCCCCTCCTCTGCCCCCCACCTGTAGTGCATTTGCGTTCTTATCTATCACAGAGGTGCCAACGCAAGCAGGACCACTAGCCGTTCAGGAAACCTACCGGCTGATGGGGTTGTCCTAGTTCAAAGGACCTGAACATACGGGTCCAAAGGGCTCCTTGTCATGATTACCCAGCTCTATATCAGGCCGCAAGGGGGCCCACCCTGGCTACATACTAGAGTTTGCGTGAGGGGGTCGAGGGTGACCTGGCATCAAGGGGTGGCTGGCTGTCTACCCAATAGCCACCCGGAACGCTCCCCGCTCATCTGGGGCAACCATTGAGGTGTCCCCGATGAACCCGTGGTAGCGTGGGTGGTTTTGAGCGACTACTTTGGCGGATATCCTTGTCTTGGCAGGAGTTTGCGGGCATCTATCCTATCATCTGTTGCAAGTCTCGTATCCTGTTGTCGATATTTTCAAGGTTCGTCGTTTTCAGCTGCGAAGTATCCAAATTTCTGGACCGCTATCTACTGAATCAATACTACCCAATCGAGCTACTTGCACCCCCCTAGTCTCCAATGCATAAACTACTTTCCGTCCGTTATATGCAGCAGCTAGCTTTGCTACCAACCCAAGAAATGCAAAGCCATTAGACCCTGGGGATATCATCCATGCTTAGAAAACTCGGAACGCCTATCATGCGCCCTCAGCTTGACGCCGTAGTGCTTGCATATTCGTATGCAATTTTTTACCCCCGAAAAAACCAACCCCAGACTCCGGCCCTCAACGCCGCTGATTTTGACATACCCCCCATTCGACAACTGCCACCCTAACCTACTGGCATTATATATTCGGCTTATTTGATTCAAAAAAAAGTAAGAAAAGAAGAAAAGCCACTAATCGAAACCTGGGAATACACTTCTTGCTAGCCGTTTCCCTATTATGATGTTTAGGAGTTTTCCGTATCAAAGTGTTCACCCGTTATAGAGTTACTCACATGGAGGTCGCCCGTCGTCACTGTTCGATTCGTCGACAGGGACGATGAGTTCTCTGGTTCGTCCTGGCATGACAGCCGCGGGACTCGGTCTGGCGATCACTGATCGCTCGGGTAATTCGATGGACTCGTTGTGTTTTGTAGCGGAAGCCGTGAAACGTATATGTCTCTTGACAGAACTGCTCCAAGAGTACAGCCTCGTGCGCTTGCTCTCAGATTCCGAAACCTCCACAACTTGTGGCCTAAGTCGCCTCGTCGCAATTTCTCTCCGCACCATCCCATTCGTGATCTTAGGGCAGTAGCCACGTGGGAGCATAGAGACTTTGCATACCGGGCAAAGAGAACTGACATCACTTAAGAAACTGTCAATGCAGTCGGGGTGGAAAATGTGGCCGCAAGGAAGTTCGCGAATCACAGTCTGCTTTGATTGGAATTCTTCCAGGCAGATCTGGCAGTCGGGCTGATAATCCGTGGCATGCTCGCTCTTTTCGGCTTCGGCTTCGACATTCTTGTGGCTTTGTGCGACCGAGGAAGGTCTGGTTGTCGGGGACAGGGGAACTGGTGGCTCGTAATTGTACGTAAACAGAGGGAATGTTTGAACGTGATCCAGCGGGACTTTTAACCGCTTGATACCCAGAGTTTCGAGGTTGACTTCGCCAGACTCGACCCGACGGCGCAACGATTCCCGCCGTTGGCGTTGGACGCAGTGCATAAGCAGCGATGTGCCACCAATAACGGTGACCAAAACACCGACTATTATAATGACGAACAGCCAGACGGCAAGTGTGGCTGAGTTGTTCGATATGATCAACTCGGTCCATACCCGGACATAATCGGCTGGGTCCGGATGAAAAGTGGACGTGATGTTACTGCCGAAGGGAACTTGGGATAAGTCGCCAGAATACAGACTCAACTGCCGCATCATCCGATCCCCTGCTGCACTGGAGATGGCATAGACTGGAAAGTGGTTGCTGGTTCTCCAATCACTGCCATCCTCGAAATCCCAGACAGCATCCTTGGCATCTGGAGGCTGCGAGGTGTCACCGTCCGGCTGATAAACCAATAAAGCCCGTAACGAATCCTTCTTGACGGATGCAAAGAATGACTTGGTGCATTCCGTGTTGATCCATGGTGCGAGCGCGACCAGATTATAGTTAGTCATAGGGAGATTCGCTCGTCGAGTAACATTCTGCGGGATGTATGTATTGGCCTCTGGACATGGATCGCCTGATGCCAGATCAGGCACATACATCAAGCCTTGAATTACACCATTCTTCGTCGGTCCGTAACTTGTTGACAGTGTTGTTATGTTCTCAGTAACATGCTCAGAGTAAGCGAGCTGGCTCTAGAGACAAAGGCAACCAGTCAGCACATGAAACGGGACACGTGAGTGAGCAACTTGAGGGCCAACATACCGATAGAGAGGTGATGTTTCTAATGATGGTGCTTGGGGTTGTTTGACCGCCCGATAGGATGGGATTGCTGAACAACAGGCTATCGGTACAAGTCAGTAAGACCGCATGAGTTATAAGACATTGGAGATCCGGTCGCCCCTAAAGGATGAGATTGACGAAAGTGATACGATCTGTAGAATGAAGGGAAAGAAGAGTGTTGAACGATGATACCAAGTAGTATAGGGAAGGTAAATCCTAGTGGCGTAGATGACGTCGCATCTCATATAGCCCTAACGTTGGGGGTGAGGTATTAAAGAGTGATGCATCGACAGCAAAACACACGACACTATACATAATAGTCTGCGCATCGCCTAGCCGCATCGCCAACGGGGTTACATGCAGCGCTTGGCAAAACTCAATTGAGGAAAGGGGATAGGAGATAGATAGGGGCTAGAGGATATAGGATATAGGATGTAGGATGTAGGATGTAGGATATAAGACGTAGGATGGAAATGGTGCTGTCTTGGCAAACTTACACGACATTCCTGACTTCGGTGAGTGCTGTTGACATAAGTCAGTTACCCGTGCCAAGCATTAGGTGATGTTTGATCAGGCTTTGCCAAGAGACCCCAAGAGACCCCAAGACGCGGGGAGTGGGAAGCCAAGAGCAATCATCAATGCTTAGCCAAATGCTTAGCTGTAGAATAACGGGATGGACGAATGAACGAATGAACGAATGAAAAGAAAAGGGCTGGCCAAGACATACACATGCTCTTAATTCATTGTAAGTTGGTACTATTGAGACATCATAACCGGTAAGGAGAGACATGGACAGGCCGGCGAGAAACCACTGGTTATCAGTGCAGTGCTCTTGGTCTTGGTGCGCTGGGGGGGCAGCGATGGTGGCAAGGAGAAGAAGGGCAATTGTTGTTGTTCTTGGCAAGTTCAGGAGTCGAAGGGAAACGTGCAACGTGCAACATGCAACGTGCAGGTGCGAGTGCAAGTGCGAGTGCGAGTGCGAGTGCAAGTGCAACGCGAGGCGAGGGTTCGTGTTTGGCAGGTAGGATTAGTGAGTAATAGTAGGTCGGTGCAGGCCCCCCGGGTCTCGGGCAACGGGCAACGGGCAACGGGCAGCGGGCAGCGGGCAGCGCAGCAGGCGCAGCACGAACTACCTAACGAAGCGACAAAAGCTTTGCTTAATTGATGATCATCCAGTCCGGGTTCCAATTTAACAGTCAATCAATCAACCGTCGTGTCGGTGCCGACTTATAGGTATTAGCAGGAGTCAGGTACTGGGTACGTGTATGTAGGTAATGAGTGCTTTTCTCTTTTCTCTTTTCTCTTCTTCTTCTTTCTTTCTTTCTTTTCTCAAGTTGCCTTGCTTT